GTTTAATCCTTTAGTTTTGACCCCCCCCCTAATAGCATGCTAATAGATTAGGTCAGGTCTATAGACCACATTTGTATATTATTTTTAAAAACTATTTTTGCATCATGCAGTGCAGACCCTGTGCTGTTACCTGATTCAGTCCTACCTGTTTGTCATGCAGAGAATGGGCAGAAACTAGGCTGTGATCCCAGTGATTGTGTCAAAGGAGAAACAGAAAATGGATTTCCATTCTCATGGCAACTGAGCATGCCAGAAATCCCTATTTCAGAGTCTTGTTTTCTGTGTTTTCTTTCACCCCTGAAGTCTAATTGTTCTCTGCTATTTCCTCCCACAGTGATGACAGCAAAACATACTTGCTAGGCATGCACTCTGCCACTGAGCCACATTTGCAGGCCAGGAGGAAGGTTTCAAATGCAAACTAGCTATAAAAGGCCTTAATATTGATATACTGTAGTCACTCATAGAACTGATTTCAAATATAGTATCAAAGTCAGGTCTCAGAACTTCTCAGAGTCCATCAGAGACTAATATGTGGATGTGAGAACAATAGCTTGCTTACCTCCAGAAGAATTTTTACAACAAAGTAAGCGCTCTGTCAGTTATATAATTTCATTCAAAGAAATGAAAGTAAGTGTCATTTTGCCCTCAAACTTTTCTCTTTTTTCAAGAATTTTCTCTTGGGGTAATGTACCATATCATGGGAGCAATGTATTGTACATGTATGGGTAAGTCAATTTCATTCATAGTTACTGCACAGTGTGTTCCAACAACATTTCTGCTGATAGGTTGAAGACAATAAGAAAAACAAGGAAAAAGGAAAGGCAGATTATAATGATATGTCACGATATATTGAGCCAATGAAGAGATAAATATACAAAAACATCAACAATGGTTCATAATAACTTTAGAATCTAACTCATGACCATGAAACAGCAAATATAATAGGGTTGCAAAAAAGTAAGTTAGGCTGACTATCTTCTGTGAATCAGAAAGTTTTTATTTGGCTAGCTAGTATATATTTGAAAATGATTTAAAATGAATTATGGGCATTTTCAGACAGAGGAATGCTCTGAGCAGTGGTAGGTGCCAGCAATATGTATAATGTCCAGTGAGATTTTTAAATTTTCCCAGTGGTCTACATATATTATGGTGAGCACTGAAAGATAGAGGGGAAAGTTCAACTAGACCTTAATGGTAGAACTGCTATCTAAAGCTTTTTGCATTTAGCTCAGAGGAAGAGTTTTCTGCTGAAATTAAAGAGTTAATATTATTAATGTGAATGGCATTGATGGATTAAACACAGAGGAGTAAAGACAGTTATACTGGGGGAAGGGAAATTAGTAGAGCCAATGATTGTAATACAAAGACTTTGTGTATTTGTAAAAGCGATGGAAAAGATGTGACAGAAACAGGAGATATTTTGGAAATTTCAAGTGTCAATCCCTAGGGTTAGAAAGGAAGGCTAAGGTACTTCACAGACTATGTAGTTCAGGAAAAGATAATGAATTTAAGTTTCCAGAATGTCCCTGTGCTATGAGAAAGCAGCATTCATTTTGTACCTTAAGGACTTCAATGGATAAATGAACAAATGATTGTTTGCTTAGAACAGATCAAGCAGATGACAGCTAGAGATGCCTGCAGTTTTGGATAGGCCATTTAGAGCCAGGTCCTGACAATCTGGAGTCTGCTCACAATAGATCAGGATAATGAAAGATGAAACTCTGCTTTTTTATGCAAAGGACCTGTTGAGGTTTGTTTTTGTTTTTTTTTTTTTTTTTTCCAAGAGAAGCAAAATCACGCAAATTAAGCATGGCCACAGTCTATAAATATTTGTAAGGACATAGCTTACCCAATTTAGAAACCAAATTGAAATTTCTTCAATTGTCCTAATAATGTTATTTCTAGATTTTATTTTCCTCATGTAGGTATGGCTCTCTGGGATTCAAAGGTAAAGATTCAATCAAGCATCTGCACAACAATTTTTATTTTAGTCACTAGATACATATGTGGCCCAAAAAGATAAGACTTGGTTGCTAAGAAAGTTTGAGTCCTCTGATTATCTTAATAGAGAGCTGGTGACTGGACCAGGTATCATGCCTTGCTGCTTTAGACCACACCTAGACTTGTGTGTACAGTTAGAGATGGATCATTTAGAGCCCCTGCTGGCCAGCTCAAGTGTCTTCAGAATAAAGAGATCAGGGAGCCAAATCTCTGAAGTTGCATGTGGATCTGGAAATCTTTAGCTCAGAAAAGAAAAAGCAACAGAATAGATATAGTTGTGATATTAAAACATTTGAACAAATACTATGGCAGATTAAACTGTGTCCTCTAAAAGATGCATCAAGGTCTAATTCTCATGACCTCAGAAGGTGTTCTTATTTGGAAGTGGGGTCGTTGCAGGTGTCATTTGCTAAGGTGAAGTCATGGTGCACTAGTGTGAGCCTGTAATTCAGTAGGGCTGTTATGTTTGTTTACAAGAATGAGGCCCCGACAAGAAGGAGACATAGATGACCCTGTAACAAAGGAGTTCACAGGACAGGAGTTACACAGCCACAACTCTGCAAAATTCAAATGCATGCCTACAAACCACGAGGAGTTAAGAAGAGGCAAAGGAGGATTTGCCAGCAGGTGCTGGAGGGAAGATAGTTTGCAGATACCTCACATTCAGATTTCTAGCCTAGACTGTAAGAAAGTAAATTCTCCTGTTTTATAGCACCCAATTTATGATACATTTTTATAGCAACCCTGGGTAACAGAAGTGCAGGTTTAAAAACAGATAAAGTTTATTCCTCAGGCTCTAAGAAATCATTAAGAATTAGTATGCTTAAATATAAGGGATGTAGATTTTTAACTAAATATGAATAAGAATTTTCCAGTAGTTAACGCTACCACAAAATGGACTCAAGGGCTTCTGTCAGTTGTGTTTACGCAAGAAGAATCACACATGTTTCTAAGGTAGTAATTTTGCATCAGATAGCAAGGTTTCCAGTGAAATCATTTTATAGTCCTATCAAATTGAGAGTGGTAGCTTGCTTTTCATTTTCTGATTTATTCAAGAGTATTTAAGGATGAGACAGCTTGCATGAAAATGTTTAAATGCAAACTTTAGTGCTTACTGGTCAATTTTTCTTAGCTGAGTCAATCTTAATTCTTAGTTCCTCGCCTGTTGAAAACGATATTAGTAGTATTGCCTGTCTAGCATTACTACCATTAAACTAGTTAACAACTTGAAAGTTCAGAATACAGCAGTGCATACAGTAAGTACTGCAGGAATGTTTGTTGAACATTTATTTGCATTGATATTAGACATGATTTGTTAATTCTTTCACACACCACTGTCACCCCTCATCTCCAAATGATGAAGAATTACAATCACACTACGACCAATCACAACTTGCAGTACTGTGTCTTTTTCTAGATCTAGAGACATACAATTACCGCCATATGCAGATCAAAATTCAGAAATACAGTATTCCTGTCTGGAATTCACAGCGGCCTCTGAACATGAGATTTTTTTCACTGCAGACTGTGATAATGCTTTTAATAATGCTAAGAATAAAGTATATGTGTTCTGGTACATATGGGAAATAAATCTTTAACAACACTGTTTTCAAAGAATAAACAGTATGCCGAATTAAGGCTTACTGAGGTTTGGATATTACTGTGTTGGAGAGAGATGTGAAGTACTCAATATTAAATCTTCATGCAACTATGTATTTTATTAAATTGATATCAGCTAGTAACTGATGGCCCATTGTAGTCTTTGGAGTAAATAATAAAAGCATTTTCCAGCATATGAAACTCTTAATAAATAGTCTGTAATTGTCTAAACAAAATATTTAGGGACAAATTTAATAAAATGTTCTCTTATTTCTGAGCTATATATGGCATCATCTGGGGGTTAAGGTGATGTCTTTGACAGGTAACGATGCCCCAGACAAAACCAGAGTTACTATCAATAGAGCAAAAGAACCCCCACTTGTGGGCAGCAGTGTATAACCCTGTACGAGCTGCTGTCAATGATCTTGCAACTTTTGTCTACACTGGAAATTGGAGGAAAGAGAGAGAGAAGCTGGATGTTCCTTTTGAAAAGAGCAGCTGAGTGAGATAGCATTGCTTTTCAGCTGGCGGTGCTCTTCAAGGAGATGAGGCAGGCCTGCTGGGTAAGTGCTGAACAGTACATTTGATGTGAGGGACATGCTCAGAGGCCATCTTGAATTCCAGACAGGAAAGAGGATTGTAGTTCCAGAATCTGTATGTCTTGTGTTACAGCTCCTTAATTTTCATGAAAGAAAGCAGCTGTGTGGTAAAACGAAAATCTTTTCCTTTGGAACTAGGTCCTAGTCGTAGCTGTTATTTTATGCTCTAAAAGCCGTGTGTTCTTAGACAGGTCCCATGAGTTCTCTCCATCTCAGACACCATGTGCATACAAGTGGGGAATATCCTCTTCCACTGAGACGACTTTCAGGACCAAACACTGTACTGACGTGCGCCACCCAGCTCAGCATTTGTCTATCAGCTACGGGCTGCTGTGTTTCAGGGATGAGATTGGCCATCTGTTAGACATTCCAAATGCAGACTCGCAGAGCAGGCATGGGTCAAGGCCACAGAGGAGGCAAACTCATCAGCTCACTGAAAGCTGCCAATACTTAGTTCATCTCAACTCAGCAACTATTTTTTGGAGTTCTGCATAGCAAGTGCTGAGGAAGTATATAGATAAATCAGACTGTTCTTCAAGAATTTCAGGAACACACAATTCAAAATCAAGTAAAACTAAATACACCCTTTTTGATCAACTGGAAAAGGTCTAACAAGACAAGTGGAATTATGCAAAGCATGTATTCAGCATTTGTACAGACTCGTTCAGTAAAAGCACACCACAGCTTTACATATCTTTCCTTTTCCAATACGTACTTTGCATGCACTTGATAGGAATCCTGTTTTTTCATTGATAGCTATTTTCTTTGCTTAGTGCCTATTCCTTTCTCATTCTGATTCAGTTTGTGTGGCCGTGTGGAAGAACCACCACATGAGAACAGTCACCAACTACTTCATAGTCAATCTCTCTCTGGCTGACGTGCTTGTGACGATCACCTGCCTTCCTGCCACACTGGTGGTTGACATCACGGAGACCTGGTTCTTTGGACAGCCCCTCTGCAAGGTGATTCCTTACCTACAGGTAACTCCTTTTTATGCTTTTTGGCTCAATCAGAAACTACTAAAAAAATTTTCAATCATAGTCCCAACGTCTGGTGAATTAATGGGTGAATTAAGAAAGAAATGTATTTCTCTAGGAATGTGCAAACTTACGGAAGATTGTGTTTGAGATTTCTGAAGACACAGGTTGAAGTTTGGATAAAGTTAAAGCAACAAAACTGTCAAATCATCTTACAATATTCCATAAATATTTGACTTTTAAAATTCTTAACTCACTTATTTTAAAATAATGAACTTGCACAGATTAGTAGCTGAATCTCTCTCAGACTACATAGTCAAGGATATTTATTATTTTTAAAAAATTGTTATTTAAAGAAAGAAAGAAAACAAAATAGAAAAAAGTAAAATAATACAGAATTCAAAAAAATTAACATCATAGAATCGCTAGTTGATACATTACATATTGTCATCTTAAAAATAGTTGTTAAAGTTACAAAATCAAAGCATAAAACGTGGATAGACATGCAAACACTGACAGTGCAAACCATTCTGTTCAATGATCTAGCAGAAATTTAGTAATATGGTCATCTAGCTTACACACTTATACATCCCTTTAAGGATTTTTGTAAGTGATTTCTTTGCATCCTGAAGAATTAAAAGCTATATGAAATTATTACAATGGGCATGTTTTATTGTCAAATCTAAATCAAACTATAGGCAGCTATGTGGTAAAACAAAAATCTTTTCCTTCGGAACTAAGTCCTAGTTGTAGCTGTCATTTTATGCTCTAAAAGCCACGTGTTCTTAGACAGGTCCCATGGGTTCTCTGCACCTCATCCATCTATATCTAGCTTGAAATGTGTGATCAGTCATTTACAGGAAGCATGCTACCAAACCAAATACGAACTATTTGGTTAAAAGGGACTATCCCTTTAATGACATGTATCATATATGATTGTTGTGACAATCTGCTTAAATAATTTACATGAATCTGTTGTTAAGATTACACTCTGGTGATCTTATATTCTTAAAATCAGTGATCAACGTCATCATTAGATGGCTTACTAGCCAACAGAGAAAGGGGTTTTTCCATATGTGGTTGTCATACAAATTAATACTTTCAGCGAGTAATTTTCTGATTGCTCTTGTACTTTACAATCTTCTGACTAAAAAGCTCCAACACAATGTCCCCCGCTATACTATGGAAAGAGATCCATTTACTTTAAGAACCAGACAGACTAAAACAGTAGCTACTTTCTCTAGCCTTTTTCTCTTATTCTCTCCAGTCTTGTAGATGGTTGAAGATATTTGGGGGAGGCCACATATAGCTCATTTCTAGAAATTGTACTGATTAGTCCTTTGAAACCTAAAGGTTGCAAAGGGATCTCTAGTTTTATAGTCCTTCAACCTCTTAAAAAAAGAAATTATAGCCTTTAGGGTTACATATTATTTACCAAACAGAAATTACAAGTTTACCTTACATGAACCTACTTCAAATTGTGGACAGATTAAGAAACAAACCATAGCAAAGTTTTGGAGAAAAATAATATAAATAACAAGAGAGAGAAATATCTCCATAAAATAAAAATCAGGAAAATTGGATGGCTCTGATGCTTACAGCATAGTAAAGCTGGGAAAATCATAAGTAGCAGAGAATTCTGATAGCTCAGCACCTACGTGGTACTTGCTGAAAATGTGTTTTCTCTTAGTTATAATAATCACCCAGGAGGAAATGTTGTGAGCCTCCTATGTTTCAGGATGGCTCTAGTTGTCCAAAATCCTCAACTTGTTGAGAACACTTTCTGCTATGTGAACCAGAAACTTGCAGAATACAGTGATGAAGAAAGGATCTGTCATCTGTAGCAGGAGCAGGCCTCATCTGACACACAGGACATCTTGTGGAACGGGGATTTAAGAGACTTCTTTGAGCACTAAAAGACAAACTAAAGGCAAAGTTAACCCATGAGAGATGTGAGGCATGAGTCCCAAGTCTCAGGCAGAGCACAACTTATTAAGAAGTCCTGCAGCAGAAGGGACACCCACATTGCAAAGTGATCCTGTATGCTTCTGCATGCAGTGTCCAGCATACCCAATTCTATATTGGAATCTCTGCTCTGTTAGTTTTCTCAAAGAGAAAGCTAGTGAGCAACTATAGATGGAAAAGACTAGCCACTACCTGACTCAGCATTACTTTTTGGTGGAAATGTGTAAGTGCTCAAGCAGATTCATGCAGTAACTTTTATCCTTAGAATTTTCTCAAAGGCAATGAGCAGGGCCAATGCACAATAGTTGAGATGTTTTGAAACCAATGGATTTTTTTGCTTTGATATATTATTTATGCCTTGCTGAATGTTAAAAATCCTATTACATATCTTCCAGCCACATTTTAAGGTTACTATATTTTATTTAAGATAATTTGGACACTTACCAATTTACTATAATGTATATGTTCTTTTTCATTTAAACACAATATAAGATTTAGATTTATGAGTGATTTATAACACTTTGACAACTGCTCAACAACTTAAAGTTCCACAGTTATATTAAAATTTAGCTGAATAATTAATGTGGCCCTTTATATTTTTAATAATACTATAATTTGAAGACCATAAACATTTATCAGTATATTGGCTAAATAATTGACTTCTACACTGACAGAGGCAGCTAGTTTTCAGGGTGATTTGAAAAAAAAATAAATTTAATATAATAAAAAAATCTGTTTAGGAGGCTCTGCACAATAAATGCCAGAGGAAAATGACCGAAAATAAGTGAGATATAGGTGATAGAATCCAGGTAGACAGAAAGACTGTTTTATCACCCTGCATTCTATTAGTGCCCATCACCAAGTCCATGATTTGGCAAAATTTCTGTTCCTACTTGTCACAGATTTTTGAGATCTTTTGGCACATCTACATGTTAGCATAAAATAAGGGTGTTCTATGCCAAATTTAATAGTTTAGTTATTGAATTCTGAAGCATTGCCCTGAGAAGAGTGCCCATGGTACAGGTGAAAGATCAAGGACACAAAGGCAAGGAAGTTCCCTTTATCTCATATCTGCAACACTAACAATCCACACTGGATCCATCTCTCAAATGACTTGCTTCCAGACTAACTAAAGCCACCATCATCCCATACTCTAAACAAAGAACACACCCAGAAGAGCTCTCGCACAAACAGAAAGCAATTATGAAGTTCTCGTTTATAATAATAAGTGAGAACATGAAAGTTAGGATCTCCCTAAGAAAATCTTAAAATTTAAGTGTGAACTACATACTAATGTATGTTATACACCTGCAAATACGGAAGTTGAAATATTGACTATTAAAACACTGTCAAGGGTCCACTGATGTATTACACTTTAGAATCAACTGAGGCTCCCTTTAGAATCACAGTACTATATTTGTTCATGTCCTGCATAGTAGGCAGGACACAGTGCCTTGGATTACTCTTGGTATTATATATCAGTTTTTCATGTAAAGTGATAAATTGGCTGTTACTCTTTAGTAATAGAATAGTAATAGTAATCAGAAATACTGAAAACGACATTTGAACTTCCATCTCATTCATCCAGGTTGATCAGAATTCATACATAATAAACCAGCTTGATGAACAGTTTCCACATCTAGTTGCTAGAGAGAAAAAATATAGCTCTGGCCCAATTGCTGAGCAAATCAGCTGTACAAATCTGAACTGTCACGGTTTTATCTCCAGGTTAGCAATGGAATTGAGGAGCCCTTGGTCCTGGTTTGTTTGCATGAAGGAGTGCAGATTGGTGGGGATAGAAGTGAAATTTTTAAAAAATTTTTAAAGAAAAAATAAAATGAAATTTCAAAACAAGATAATAGAAAAGTAACAATGGTTAATACGCTGCATATTGTTACACACACACACACACACACACACACACACACACACACACACACACATTGATCTTTTCTCTTGAAGTGAAATTTTTTTGAGATACAGACTGAAATGTATTCTAACATAGTACCAAAAACTACTCAGGATTTATAATTAACTGACTCATAATCTGGCTTGTACTGGTAGAATTCAGTCCTCTAAGATTTCATTTACAATGAGTTGCCACCAATAATTTAACAGAGCTTAGGCTTTTGCTCCTTATTTCTATAACTGAAAAGCAATGCTTCCCAATTTTAATCCAACTCTCAAATGGATAAGAAAACTAATGTGCGTAACCATCACTATTTTTACTATAATTCTAATAACGAATAGCAGGCATACAGTGCTTACATGCAGAGTTGCATCAGGAATTTTACATATCAGCTACAATGCTATAGCTTCACCATATTTCACAGGAGAGAAAACTGAAGATTAGAGAGGCTGTGTAAGTTATCCAAGATCACACAGTGAGATGAGAGTCAAACACAGCACACTGGCTGCAGAGCTCATTCCAAGTATACTCTTCACCTTCCAGAGAAAATCAAAAGAATCAGAACTTTAAGAATTTCATCTTTCCATTTTCCTTCATTTAACAGAACCATGCACACATGCACACACACTCACAACCGAAGCTACACAATGGCTCACCTGACATAGTGCAATTCCCTGGCGGGATAGTAAGAACAGAACGGTGACTTTGACTCCTGTCTCAGAACCCTTTTTTCTGGTCTGCTCCAACGCTTGGTTTCTTTCCCTTCATTCATACCCAAAGTAAATGCATTAATAAAGAAGGTCCTAATGTAATAAGCAGACATTCCTGCCCATAACAAATATTATAGGATCAACAGAACTTGATCGAAAAAAGCAAGAAAATAAGTGGATCACAAATTTACTGTGCAATGAAGCTTACCAGTATTAATTAAGTAAATACTAGTTGTTACATGTAACAATGCACACAAAAGGCTTGGCAGATCTGGGGAACAGTGATGAGACCAAAAAAAAAAAAAAAAAGTAATTTCTTCTGTCACAGAGCTTTATTGCAACAGAGAAAACAGACATAAATAAGAGAAATTAGATGAAATCTCTAATTTAAGGAGGAAATTGATGTTCCATCCAGGATACAACACAGGAAATATGCTTACATAAAAAGATGTGGAACTAGGCATGTTTAAAATGTTTGTATTTTTTTTTCTTAAAATTCCAATTTAAAAAACCATGCATGGTTTTGTTAATTATTTACAAATCTGCGTTGGGTGAACCTCTCCTGCTGTTTAGAGAAAAGTTACTTATCCTAGCAGTGAGTGAACAACAGTAAAAAGATACATAAAGAAAATTTTCTTTTAACGTGACACATGCCTTTGTTTGGAAATAACATATTAGAAATAAACTAATGTACAAATATCTCTTATCTTAAAATATAAACTTAGGCACATGTAAGTCATGCATTTGGTGAAAATTACACATGATTTTCAACAAATTCCTACATGATAATTTATAAAACAGAAAAGAAAGACATGCCATAGTATTCTTCTCTCTCTCTCTCTCTCTCTCTCTCTCTCTCTCTCTCTCTCTCTCTCTGTCTGTCTGTCTCTCTCTTTTTGTAGTGCTGGAATTGAAGCCAAGGTCTGCACACTGAGCTACACCACCAATCCTTGGTAAAAATTCTAAACTTGGAAACAGGGTCAATCTAAGCTGCTGGATTGCACAGGCTGGAATCAAACTCGTGACGCTCTCGCCTTGGTTTCCTAGACTGCTGGGATCACAAACGTGCCACCATGACCAGCCAGCATATCGTTCTCTTTAAAGAAAAGCTCAGTCTAAGCATGCGTGTTTTATTTCTTTTTATCTGAGGCTATCATCTACCCTGTGTACAAAAACTTACAAAACAAAATGACAGTAATTACATAAAGGGGGTCAGGTTATAAATTTAAACATTTAACATAAAAATGATCCCAAGGTTTTCACAGAACCTTTCCAATGTCTACCAGGAAATACAGACTTTTCAATATACTTCTAATGTTTTTTTTCTTTTTGACAAACATTTGCTTAACATAGAAGTCACTTGCACGCGCCTCCGTCGCGCTGCCCTGCTGGCACATGGCTGGAGCCGAGCTGTGCCTTGACGCCTGGCGCCCCTCCCGTGTCGCCCTGTCTCCCCCAGACCGTGTCGGTGTCCGTATCCGTGCTCACGCTCAGCTGCATCGCCCTGGACCGCTGGTACGCCATCTGCCACCCTCTGATGTTCAAGAGCACAGCCAGGCGGGCCCGGAACAGCATCGTCGTCATCTGGGTGGTCTCCGGAGTCATCATGATCCCTCAGGCCATCGTCATGGAGTGCAGCACCATGCTGCCCGGCCTGGCCAACAAAACCACGCTCTTCACGGTGTGCGACGAGCGCTGGGCAGGTAGGAGCCGCGGGGGGCTCTGTGACCTCACCCTGCTTGCCGAACCCCTGGCCAGCTCCAGCCGTGGGGAAGCTGCCCTCGTGCGTGGACTGCATTGCACTATACAGCTGGCAAAAGCGTGAGATCCCAGATGACACCCCGAAAAGTCACAGAGTAACCCCAACTATCTGAGACCTTTGAAAATGTCATAGGCGTTATAATTTCCATTTGCTTTTTTTCAGAAAAAAAAAATGTAAGAAGGAGCAGGTCTATGATTCAGATTAGGTTATGTTAGGTTTTCTCAAATCCTCTAATGCAAACCAGTGAACCATGATAAATAAGAATCCAGAACTGCATTCTGAAGTGATGAGCATTTTACTGGCTTTTCAGCATAATGTTGTCTCAGGTGTGGAGTGCACCTATTTTGTTCTGTTCTCATTTTAAGGCCCTGTCCTGGTGACTTGTGTCTGCAACATTACAGAGTGAGAATCAACCACATTTGCATTCAGTGCATGTTCGATCAATGGATTTTAACACTGGGATAAATGTATGATTTAGGAATTATAATAGTTACAAATCATTTCTGTTTTTCCATCAGATTTGTATGCATGATAGTAAAACTTAAAGATGCTAAAAAGTGTACGTCTTATGCTGCTTTGGCTGAAAACTCATAGCAAAGAAAAAATGTGTATCCTTGCCTTGTGCTGGCAGAAATTTGGGCAGAGAAACAGCTGACAAGAAATCACCCCACATCTTAACTCAACATGTACTAGATACAAAATTATTACATCTAAATAAATCTAAGTAAAACAGTAGTTCTTCTGGATTGAGTCTAATATAAATGGCTCATCGTTAGGAAACTGCAACATTAGGAGATGATTTCTGTAATAGCTAGCTTTCCCTCACCTGGACAATTGAAAGGAATTTAACCACCTCAAGTTCCGGTCAGCTGCCCAAAAGGCACAAAGGGAAAGGCACTGGGCATAGAAGAGGAACTTGCTCATCCCATGGCAGCCAGAATGCAGAGAGAAAATGAAGGCGACGAGAATCCACCCTTCAGGGTCACACTCCCCATGGCTCCCTCTCCTACCCCACTCACCTCACAATACACCCTCAGCTATGAAATCTACAGAGGACACGAACCCACCTGAGAGCAGCACCTCATATTCAGTCACCTTTCAGAAGCGTCACTTCTGAGCCCCTGAGGATTTTAGGGGACAATTCAGGTCTAAACCACAACAATGTGCTTATTAGAAGGATTTATAGTTACACTTATTAGAAGTTTATTATCAAAACCTAGAGTTGCTTATAGTTGTAATATTTCCAAATATTTGAATCCCTGAATTTATAATACTCACTTGAGGTGCTTTTACTGGAAAAAACTGAAAAAAGAAAAAAATCAGTAGCTGGAAAATTTAGCAGAACATTTTCTCCATAGCAAATCAAATTTTAAAAAGTCTAGGATTTTTAATATCAGTAACATAAGACTTTCAGTACCAAAATGTCACAATTTACTTTATTTATCATGAAAATACTAAATATATCTTTTGCATTGATCTCTACTCTTCAAATATTGAAGTTAATTTTGTTATGGTTTTTAGACAATCTTCAAATTTCCCCAATTTTTCTCTTTAACAGTGCAGACAAAAAAAAAAAAAAAATGAATGGAAAGGTCCAGGGTTCTAGCTCACGTTTCATGAGCATTCATTTGATGCTCAATGTCCTGAGTCTTAGAGTATGACAGGCACCAGGCCAACCTGAAGAGAAGGAGACTCTGTCAGTGTACCTGACAGGAAAGGCATTGTATGGTCAATCCCATTAATTCATTTATTATACATAAAGCACCAAGAACACACATGAGAAAACAAACCACTTCCAGTCATTTGGATAAAAGTTTGCAATGCAGCTGTCCACATTTCAGTAAAGCTTTGAAGTAAGCAGGAATGATGCAGGCAGGGAGGAGGGAAAGGGGTGTTTCAGGAAGCAAGAAAAACTGCCTGTGGACACATTGCAAGACAGACAGGAAGAAGGACAGGCATGTAGCTTGTGACATAGAAGCGGGTAGCCTATAAAGAATTGAATTTGGAAAGAAGGTAGTTCAAGGACAGATTATGACATGTTTCTACTTGATTCCATTAAGGTAAAATATTTTTGGAAAACAGTCTAAAATCTCTTAGTTAGAATCTTTTGTTCATGAACACTAATGAGATTAAATTCAAGAGTAATTTAAAAAACGTGTCTATGTAATTTAAAGTTTCCAACCCAGAATTTGTGATCTTTTAAGATCATGGAGATTGAAATTAGATAAAATATTTAATATTATCATTTAATATATTTAAGCAATATTTTCTCTAAAGAATTATGATAATTAGTTTCATTCATATACTTGTTTATGGGATATATCATAAACGTTTGTGCCCTAAATAATCAAGAGCATTAACTCTTAGTAACAAAAATATTGTAGGGATACAGACTCTTGTCAAGATTATGATTCATGAGTACATTATCTCAAATTACCTTTGAACAATAAGTATACATTCTTAAAGTTCATTTCTATCTCCAGTATTTTATTATGCAACACTTGCTATATATTTTCTTTTTAATGAAGAAGTATCAGTGAATAACTTTTAAAAAATCTAAATTCAGTTTTCAGAAGTCATTTAAGAAAACTCTTTGAAAGTAATTACAATTATGGCATCTCTCCTATTAGGAGATTTTGTAAGGATCTAAGTCTGCATATATGTGTTAATTGGAATTTGAAAGTATTTATTAAGGGAAAAGATTAATAAACATATTAAAGATTCATTAAGTTTAATCATCCATAAGTTTTAAAACAAAAGTGAAATTGAATACTAGCAATTTATCTTTAATCTACTTGTCCATTCAATCCCTGATAAATGTAACATGGAGAAATGTTTGTAGCTTTTAGAGAACTAGTTTAACATGCTAGTTGAACAAGAAATTTTAGCTCATCTGAGGAAAAATTAAGGTTTTTTTTTGCCTAATGTATGACATTACTCTTTACTTTCTGATTTCAAAGAGTATATATATAAAAAGAAATATATATATATATATATATATACAATGCAATAATTTATTGAGATTGCATTTGCCATCAGTTGAGTAGAGACAGATTTTAACAGTTGGCAGTTTTCAAAATATTAATCATTAAGTAATTAATTAAGGTAATGTTCAAGTGAAAAAATTTGGTTACATAATTCAAGGTTATACATAAACATCATAAGTATTGAAGATATTGCTTATCGAGTGCAGAAAGTCTTCAAAAGTATCTTCAGCACACAACTTAAATTTTCAGTGTCACATATGGAATTTCAGTTACAGCCTACTATAAACATGAACTGACAAATTTCAGATTAACATACTTCCCCAATCATCTATCATAATGTTCTCATTAAAACAGTCTAACCCAGAAGTGCATTTTTGCCTAATCACCTTTTCTCCATAAGTGTTTATAATACACATTTATCACCCCTCCCATATTTTCCCAACTGTTTATGAACATATCACTTGCAGACTGAGCTTTCTTTCTTTCTAGGTAAAGCTCCCAACCATTATTACATTAAGGTATCCAGAGCTGTAGTTTTAAAAAAAGTTAGTGACTTCTCAAATCTACCATCCTCTGTTTAGTCAGTTTAGTTTGATGCAGACTTTAGGGCTTCACAGATAGGTAAGCTTCAAAGGTGTGTTTTTATGTAAAAAGCTTATGTGACACTTTCTGCAAAACAAATAAAAGTTCAAAGCCATTCAGGTGCCTGGAAAGTGCTGAACTCACCTTCCAGTGCCTTTGAAATCGGCCCACCAAGTGCTGCTCAGCTGGAGGACTTCAAAGGGAAACTCTGTTCGTTATTCCTCCAGTCAGACTGCTTGGATTCTGTCACTTTTTATGAAGGGGCCTGGTTTGCAGGTTAGACTTGAAAGGAAGCTAGAAACTGACAAGGTAGATGAATATCTCACAGGCAGAGAAAGACTAAAACAAGGCCTTCAATACATCTCTTGGGTTTTCTAGGCATATGTAGCCTACTGTGCCCTTCTGAGGGTACCGTAAGGAAAAGAACATGGAGACAGAGTTTTAGAGGAAAACATATGCGGAAAATTAAATTCAGACTCAGACTTGAATCACAAACTATGAATCTGACACTGTCAAGGATGTGAATTCATAAATAAATTTAAAACTTATTCAGTTAGATTTAAATCTATGATTATCAAATAAATTCATAGACATTTAAAATGTATTCATTCAGAATTAAATCCACGATTACAAAATAAATGTCCTCTATTGTTAAGGTCACTACCACACTTCCTGTTGGTAAATACTGAATAATTGATTGCCCTTATCACAAATTTGATCACATAAATCCAAACTTCATATCTATCTATAGTAAAGACAAAAATGCACAGAGATGATAATGTTATTTCTCAATGTGAAAACAATTCCCTTGCCAACAACAGGGTCAAAATATGAAGATACATTTTGTACTAGTTTGGAGGGCAGTTACCTTCAAATTAATATTTATTAGATGTAATCAAGCCAAATAAGATTTTTGATAAACATACACTTGATGTTGGGTAGACTGTGGTAGCATAAATTAAAAAAATCACTAATTATTACTTCTCTATGAGTACATTAAGTGAAATTAAAACTTCATGTATATATATATACATATATATATATATGTATATATATATATATATATATATATATAGAGAGAGAGAGAGAGAGAGAGACAGAGACACAGACAGAGACAGAGACAGAGACAGAGACAGAGAGACAGAGATAGAGAGGGAGAGAGAGAGAAGTAAGTATGTTAAGGAAATACATTGATGCAGTTTGCTACTTAACCTACCCATGAATCTTAACGCGAGGTTTTTATTATTCTGACCTCCATCCCAGGTGAAATTTACCCCAAGATGTATCACATCTGCTTCTTTCTGGTCACGTACATGGCACCTCTGTGCCTCATGGTGTTGGCTTATCTGCAGATATTTCGCAAACTCTGGTGCAGACAGGTATGTAACTTCAAATATTTTGGTTGTGTTTTAAGATTTTAAAAACATAATTTTAGGAATGCTTGGAAACAACTTAACATGCTCACAAAAGTACTATTTGTTGTAAATTAATGAGGCTCTAGCTGTGGAAAGGCACCTTGACTCATTTGAGAAATGTCTTAAGTCTTGTCTTGAGGACTTAAACTAAATTTTAGTTTAGAACTAAAATTTCATCTCAGAGATTGAAGTAATTGTTTTCTAGGAGTAAGGTTATTAATTCCTTTTTTTATGAGAAATAGCAAGTAAAGATTTCTTTAAAGTTTGCCGGGACTGTAGGTAAGTCTAGAAATTTTAATGTTTATACTATTTGATGAAATATACTTTAATAGGTGGGATAATCTCCAGCTTCAAAGATCTCATTTTTGGAAGAGTTAACAAAGCAGACAAATTTAGAATTTAGAAACTGTTTTACATTTGAGTCAATTTGCTAGATAATGCTACTATTACACCAGTAAAGATTCCTATTGCTTTGCTCAGAGATTCATTACCCAAACATTCACCATGTGCTGTGTGACCATACTGCCGGGCTCTCAGTTGGAAGGGAGATGAGGGTTATTTTGCTAAAATCCCAGTCTTCTCTACTGGGTCCAAGGCAGGATGGCCTGGTTGAGGTGCGTGGTGCAGAGAGCCCAGAGAGCTTCGGTCCTCGGGCTCCACACTCACTGTGTGACTTCCAGGATGAGGCTGTCCTCTCCACAGCCGTGGAACGAATTAAATGGAGTTAGGTACCACTGAGCACCGTTTGCGACAACAGCTGTGTCTTAGCCATGGTGCCTATCAGGGCGGGGTCAGTTGCAGGTCCAGCCCTAGGAACAGGCGTCCTGCCCTAGGATGGAGGAAGGCAGGGAGCTTGTGGGAAGGAGGGAGAAAGAAGTGGGCTTGCCTCAGAGAATTCTGCTCTGAACTGGCTCACGTTGTCTCTCCTTTCTTCTCGTCCGCCAAAATACTTCATATAGTTAAGCTGGACCATGAAGGAGGGATGCAGTCATTCCGTGGCCCTGGTGGGGACACGCTGGGAGTCTCAGGACAGTGGGGCCTCCCCGCAGACAGAGGGGACAGGCAGGAAAAGTGACACAGCTCAGAGCAGTAGGAAGTGCTCTGCTCAGGCCCAATTGTGTGAGTCAAACCCTAAGCATCCCTCTGGCAATCACAGGGGCTTTGCAGCGATTTAGAGCATTTCTGCCTCTCCTTTGTCATCTTTAGAGTGATATACATAATACAGATCACTTGATGCTTTATACACAGATCACTTGATGCTTTATACAAAAATAAAAGAAGCTAGGAGAAAGTGTTACAGAGTTCAATAAACGAGATCATGCCACATTTTTAGAAACACTTGAATCTGAAGAAAATTTAAAAAACGTTTAATGAGCATATCACATAGAAATAAAGATACTTAAATCAAGATTGAAACTTTAGCTGAAAATGTCCAATGTTAAGAGCATCCTCCATCCCGTATTTGTACTGGAAGTTTGTATTAGCTTCTCCACTTATGTACAAACTAACATACCTCAAAAACTCTGTAGGGGCAGTGCATAGATTCAGTCTGTTACTATTAAATTCCCACCCTTGCACGGTGCCTCGCAGAAAGAAAGAATTCAAAAACTAATTTTGAATAAATAGATGATTACCAAATCCCAATTTACTTCTGCATTATTTAAACTCATAACTGCCAATTTCCCAAACTCCAAAATGCACTCAAATTATATCTTTAGAAAGAATCTATATTAGTTTCAAAGAATTCTTCTGTTTAAGTCACATGGTACAGGAGGTTTGCAGTAAAATGCTTAAATGTGAAAGCAAAAGCATTTGCAAAACAGATTGGAATAGAAAATGGCGAGTTCAACCGAGCTCCATTTAGCAGCAACAATAAAGTAAATTAACTTCAAAAGGGAAATTACATAGAATTCAGCCTGAGCAGCTCTCAATTCCCAACTGTTAGCATCTATTAACAGAATGGTGAGGCGGTTTGTGTGCTATAGGCTACGTCACCTACAGCATGTAAGCCATCCAAGGAGGAGCCTGTCTTATTTGCTTAAAATTAGACACACAGAGCACTGCTTTTCAAAACTTTCAAATTAGTAAGTTTAGGATTATTAGTGAACAAATCTTGTGTCCTTGTCTGACTTTCTCAAGAACTTTCAGCCTCATTAAAAGAACTAGCTATTGCTTTGTTATTATCAATTAACTGAAGTCTTTATCTGACGATGGGACTCAAAACAATTCTCTAAGAACTTCTGGTCTTACTCTGCTGGGCCGATGTGCAGCAATCAGCTCTCTTTCCAGTTCAGTTTCCATGTAAATCATCATCATCATAGGAATATCTCTTCATTCACTGAACAGATGTTTATTAAGCACTTAAAATGGGACACACTGCGGGTAAACTGAGACCAGTTTCTAATGACTTTGGTAAAACTTACATTTCCAAGCTCTTATCACTATTTATTCTGCTGCTATTTATTCTTGAACATTTCCCCCTAGGGGAAGTTAGAATTAACACACATAATCTGGTGAGATAAGGGACAAAGAAAATTGTTATGTCCCTCACCAGAAGAACTCAGTCTGTGTTGCCTGGCAAGCACCAGCAAGGCCTTGGATCTGATTCCTGGAAAAACACACATGCACACACACACACACACACACACACACACACACACACACACACACCACAAAATACAAAACCAAAGAACGCAGTATGTGGCTCTTAATTCCAACAACAGTGCCAGGTAAACAGCAGTGATGATGGGAGACACAGAGTCACAAAGCGTAATGGGAAATGGTCCCTAGACATTGGGACTCAGTCACCCCCAATGCTGTTGCTGAATGTGAGGGACCAGAAAGGGTCTCTTCATCTCTGCTAACAGTGATGTGCAGGTTACTGTTCATGTAAGATCGCTAGCGCCCCACAAGTGTTGGCTGTACTTCATTAAGATAAAGTGGGTAAGGAATCGGGGAGACCTGGGACCAGTCCTGGGGACCAGCATCTGCTAACTGCTGAGCCAAGGCCTCCTTGGTACTCAGGCCCTCCCAGCTGCCAACCCACTGCGCTTGTCCTCCTCTGAGATAGAAACCACCCACCAGCTTCTCAGCATTCGTGGGCTTTGTGTTCTCAGCCCACAGTAACACTGACTTCTGGGCCCACTTTGTTCTGGCTTTGAGCTCCTTCACTATAGTGAGACAGCATCTACTAAAGCCAACCGTGACTTCTGCAGAATGGCTTTCTGACCTCTTGGGCCATGTTAAGCGATGGTTTTCAGTTTCGCATCCACACACCTCTCCCCAGTGACCCTCCCATGGATCTTTCTGCTTCCTTGTTTTGAACAGTCGTCCTTTCTTTGCTGGCCATTAAATGCTATCTTATCAGATCACTTCATGATTCCTTACTTTCTTTAGGTAGGATCTGAAAGAAACTTCCCAGGAGTTTTTAAAATATATAAAAATATCTGAATGAATGACACTTTTAAAAATGTGTAACCCAGGTTGTGCCCTGGGATGCATCCAATTCTACACACACGTAAATAAACACATATGGTGCCTTTATTATAAGTCGTGAAATAAGCCCTCCACTTTTGTTCCTCTTTTTTATTTTTATAAGTATTTGGCTACTACAGTTCCTTTGCATTGAAAAAAAATTAAAATCAGTGAGTCCATTTCTCCATAAAAGAAGAAAAAGCAGTGTGATTTTGAATGGCATAAATTGCCTAAAGTTCATGGATCAATTTTGAGAGAAATGCCTGCTGTGTTAAGAATATTAAGACTTCCAAACCAGTAAATATCTGTCTTCATTTAGATACTTTTTAATAGTTCTCAATCATGGTTTTCAATATGCATATTTTCACTACATTTTATTGAATGTATGTAAAAATGTATTTTTGCTATTTCCATTTTGCAGTATAACTCTCTCCATTTATGTATTGCTTTTTAATATGTTTTGCTATTTCTATTTTGCGTGGTAACTCTCCATTTACGTATTACGAGTATATAGAAGTGCAATTGACTTGTTTATTGAGTTTGTTTTCTCTTTCTTGCTAAAGTCATTCTAGTTCTAGTTGTCAGTTCCTTAGAGTTTTCTTTGTAAGCAACACTTTCTTCTCAGCAGAATCCATCTGTGTTCCTTTTATTTATTTGTATTTTCTTCTTAATACTGGCTAAAAATTCCAGTATTTCTAAGTACAGTTGATTAGAGAAGATTTTATTATCTTAGAAAAATTACTCATTTTTCTCTATTTGGGAAAGGCTTTGCAAAGATCCTTTTTATCAAGTTGAGAGTTTTCCTTCTATTACTAGTTTACTGAGTGTTATACATAATGAGTGTTGAGTTTTTCAAATGTTTTCCTCCATCTATCGAAATACTTTTCTTTTATGCTGTTAATGTGATACCTTATACTACTTGATTTTTTAATGTTAAGCCTTAGTTGCATTGCTGAGAAAATTCTAATTGAGAAGCTGTTTTAATCTACTACAACAAACTGTTGGTTTTGATTTGATAACATATCTAAGGAGATTTTTGTCCCTGTTTGAGAATGATATTAGGTATTTTTGTTGTTGTTCCTTTGATTACTAAGGCAACTGGGACCTCACAAAATGTGTTGGAAAGTCTTTTTCTATAAATATTCATACAGAGAACCAAAAAGATTGATATTATTTATTTGATAGTTTGTATTCATCAGAAAACCTGTCTGTACCTGTACTTTTTTGGTAGTCAGGTTTTAAGTATTATGCACTATTAATTATGGTAATGATTGTATTTCAAGTAGTTTGTTCATTTTATAAGCTGAGAAACACTGGCTATTCCTAATACTCTCTAATTCCCTTTTTAATGTCTGTAGCATGTTTTCTCTTTTGTTACTAGCTCGTTCTGGTCACAAATGCTTCTTCCAAGAGAGCATTTCCAAGGACCACCATCTGTGTGTCATTTCAAATTCTCAGTGTTGGCAATACCTCTTTCAAAACATCTAAATGAGGATAATTTATGAAGTTTATTCATAGTAGCACAGTAAAAATGGTTTGTTTATGTATGTACTTTCCATAGTCAAAGACCACTAAGCCCTCAATGACACAGAAGCAGGAAACTTTCCCACAAAACATCCCAGGAGTGACTCTCACAGCCATTTGTATTGCTAGCACAGTTTTTGTTTCTAGGCTTGTACTGAAACAAAGGCTTGTACTTAAGCGACTCCTGTATCACTGTAGGTTTAAGTCTACAAATGGGAACTGTGCCTCAAGTGGAAAGAGATGAATTGGGACATCTGATAAACCTGAGTGTGAGTTCTGGCTTTGTGTGTGTCACAGTTATCCGCTTGAATTCTTAAGGATATTTAACCTTAATGTCTGTTTGATTAATCTACAAAATGAGATTTACGGTAATCTTTTCCACATGCGCTAACATACTCAAATTTATGCAAAATCCTTGAAGCTCACCTAGTTTAAGTGACTTCCTTCTAGTTTTATCCCGTTTTTCTGGGTACTCAGTTTCTTCATAGTTAGTCACAGATTTTTGTGTCCTCAAACTGAGTTGCAGGAGTGCAAACCTCTTTCTTTCTTTATGTAGGTTTTCACTTTAAAAGAGTGTCACTGCTTCATTTTAATTTTTTTTTCCTGGCCCATGACTATACCCTGTGGCAGTTTCTCTCTATGGGACCTGTTTCTGAGAGCTGCAAAAGTCCTCAGTTGTAGAATGTTGGTTCTGCCCTTAAATGAATCACTCACTGGCAGAGCTGTAGAAGTTTAAATCATCTCCCTGTGTCATGTATAAAACAGTTCAAGACCATTTAGCAGAAACAGTTTTCATGGTAGAGGTTTGGAACTTTGCAACATCCATTTGTTTGTCTCTGTTTTAAAAATTACAATTTCAAAATAGAGTCACAAGAGAGAAAGGGGTTTCCGCCCCCCCCCCCCCGCCAATGAACTATAAAGTCGAATCACCATTATTTGGAAAGGGTAGTGTACATGACAGGTCATGTGACATGTGACGTGAGAAGAAAATGAATTGGTCGGATATTTTCTCTGTAAAGGCAGAGAAACAACGTAGCAACACTTACATTTTCTTCAAGAGAGAAGATGCTCAAAGGGAGCAGAGTATTATTCTGTCTATGTGAATGCAAAGTAAAATTCTGTTCTCAAATTAAGTATTATCTTTGATCTTGGGATGTGGGAAGCAATAGAACACGTCTATCAGACGTTCTGGGGGGTCACAGGACACAGCGCTCTGTACTGGCGTGCAGTAGAGAGAGAAAACCAACAGCTGAACAATCTCACAGAACTAGGAAGGCCCTGCCATGGTTTTCCTCTTTAAAAATTATGCATGCCGGATTTTGTTGTTTTGCTTACTAAGAGTTGTTAATCTTCAGGAGTTTATAATTAAGAAAATATTATACTTGGTTGGCCTCCCTGTTATAGTCAAATAGCTTTGAAAAGAAATGGAAAAGTACAAGTTGTGTCATGGTTGTTAGGAATGCTAGTTAATTTCAAAGGTTAATGTAAGACCACAGGGGATTTTCAATGTTTGGTGTGCATTTTAAAAGGCAGAACTGGTCGCGATTTCACAACTGCGAATAATAAACAACAGAAGACATTTTATTCTTCAAAGTCCCTTCCACTTAAATCTAGAAGTCTTTGGGTGGAGTTTTGGGGGTCTTCCTCCATTTAAAGAGCCGCTCTGTCCAAAGCTAAGAGCACCGTGCAGGAAGCCTCTCTTGCCGGCGCTCGGCAGGTGGCAGCATTGCTGCGCGAAAAGTCACCTCGGGAGCCTTCCTGCCGGCGGGTCGCCGTCCCTTCCCCTTTATGCGGGAGCTGGCCTCAGCGCTCCTAGCGGGGTGGACCATCCTTTCCCTAGTACCTTCCTTCCCCAGCTCTTCCTTCCTTTTTCTCGGGAGGAATATCTTCCCTGTGCCGTTGTCAAGACCACGACGAGATGATGATGCTCTAACTTTTCTCCACTCCTGACAACTTCGGGCACTGGGCCGAAGGCACGATTGCTCCGGCCCGGCCCGACCTGCGCCCCTCTCTCCGCAGATCCCCGGCGCCGCCCCGCGCTGGAGCGCGCTGCAGCCGCCCCGACCCCGCGGTCCCGGCGCCCCCGCCGCCGAGCTCAAGCAGGTGCGCGCGCGCAGGAAGACGGCGCGCATGCTCATGGTGGTGCTGCTGGTGTTCGCGCTCTGCTACCTGCCCATCAGCGTGCTCAACGTGCTCAAGAGGTAGGCCGGGCCCGAGGTCCGCGGGAGAGTGAGCTGCCCTGCCCCAGACACCCCCGGCCACACGCGGCCAGGGCGCACCCATCCCGGGGCGAGGCGGGGCTCCTGCAGAGGGCGCCCCGCAGGGTCTGGGGAGCCGGGCGGAGGAGGCCGGGCTCTGCTGCCCGGAGCCGGGCGCTAAGCCAAAGATCTCAAGCAACCCCGAATACAAATGCAAAATAACGCCGTTTACCAATTTCCTGTCGGCGTGTGTGTGTTTCGATGAAAACTGCAGAACTTGGCGCTCAGACACCTGGGCACCAAAGACGAACTCTTTCCTAAAGGATCAAAAAGAGACAGGGGCATTTTAGGCACCAAACAACAAACAGCAATCCAAACAGGTATTCGTGTGCGTAATGTTGGAGTAGGAGAGAAAAGCCTTTTCTTTCAGTTACTGAAACATGCTCAGGACGAATGTTCATAAAAACCAGCCCCACATTTTTCAGCAAGGGAAAAGATGCAGTTTGTTGCACTCAGTCAGCTACCGAGGCTCAAATCATCAGCAGCGACAGTGGCCGCTGAATGCGGCCCCGAGCGAGGTTCTTTCCGTCCTCCCAGAGCCCAGAGAGGTGGACACCTCCTCAGAGGACCGTGCTCAGTGCCGGGACTCTGGGTACAGCCGGTCCCGCGCGCTGGGAGCCCTGCAGGAGGCGCTCTGGGTGGAACGCACGCGTTTTCCGTGTGAGCCCCTGCTTTAGTTTAATGGCTTTGTGAATGGAGAAGAAATAGAAAGATGAACTTTCGTTCAGTGATATTATTTACTGCAATCACAGCCCCAAAGGTATAAGGTTTGCGGCGGTTTGGATGCATTTGCCAGGTCACAGAAAGTGAAAATTGTTTTGCCTTCTATAACTTTTCCTAACCCCCATCTTATTTTTTTGCTCAGGAAAACACCACGTAGATGTGTTCTGGTCTCCCTGCTAAACGGTGTGGTCACCCCCTAGGAGATTTTAAGCAAACAAACTGTGGGGCTGGACATGCTTCTGGCCGCCACACACACCCACCTCTCTCTTGCCTCTACTAGAAAGTCAAAATTCAATGAAAACTGAATTTATCATCTCGTTTAAATGTTTGAATCTCCTATAGCTGAACAGTTAGTATGTATCTTATTCTTCTAACTTAAATACCATGTTTATGTTTTTGTGTTTTGTTTTTTGTACCAGGAATCGAATTCAGACCTCACACTTGCCAGGCAGGCGCTTTGCCATTGAGCTGTATTCCTGAACCTTAAATACTTTCTTGCTGAAGAAAAACAAATAGCTTCTTATAGAAAACACACAAGTGCAATATAAATATTTTCAAGTTTTTTTTTGGCTCTTGTCTTTTCTACCATATGCATTTTTAAAAAGAATCTTGAAACATTTTTAAAAATATTTACTTCTAAGTTTGACCTTACATATATTTCTAAGACTGCACTAAATTTTAAAATAGCCTGTAAGGATAATTGTTTTCAGAGTTTACTAGACTATGTAAAAAACTAAAACTCATGAATGTTAAGAAATTATCAGAATTATCTGCAGAAAACTAGTTCTCTCCGTCAAAGACGTCCTAGAAGCCAAACTGCAGCCAAACCAAACGCACTTTATGATCATTCCAAATGAAAACTGGAAAAAGTACTCAAAAACTGCAGGTCAGGAGTTTTTTTTTGTTTTTGTTTTTGTTTTTGTGGATTGAAGCAGGGCCTTCACACCAAGCTGCATCTCTAGCCCTCCTCCCTCTAATTTTGTTTTTGAGACAGGATTTTGCTAAGACTGAGATGGTGTCCACCCTGGGCTCAAACTTGTGATCCTCGTGCCTCAGTCTCCCATGGTGGGAATTACAGGGGTGTTCCACCACACCCGGCTCTCAATATCTGTTCTCTTGTCTACAAGAATTGGAGAGAGAGAGAGAGAGAGAGAGAGAGAGAGAGAGAGAGAGAGACAGAGAGAGAGAGAGAGACAGAGACAGAGACAGAGACAGAGACAGAGAGAGAAGAGAAAGGCAAAAAGGCACAGAGAGGCAGAGAGCGACAGAGAGGGCTCATCCCTTCCGTCTGGGCTGCGCACCTGTTGGACACTGACAGTGTTTGGCCCTGCCAGGTCTGGAGCTGTTCTCACACTGCTAGGTCCCTGCAGTGCATGACGAGCTCTTGCTTATCTCCAGCTTTAATTCTGCAAAAGCTGCTGTCCAGGATCACTCTGAGTCCGTTCTCTCCTTGCAGGGTGTTCGGGATGTTTGCACACACAGAAGACAGAGAAACCGTGTATGCTTGGTTTACATTTTCACACTGGCTGGTGTACGCCAATAGTGCTGCGAACCCAATTATTTATAATTTTCTCAGTGGTAAGTTTTCACTTCTCCTATAAAGTCACAGTCCTGAGCACAGGAGCGAGGAACAAGCTGGAGATACAGAGCCATCTTTCCTTGTTTAATGAGTTAAGTTGATAGGTGTATTTCAGATGTACATAATCATCACATTCCTCATGTGGATGGAGCTGTCTTAGTGCACAGCAAGAGCTTGGCTGCTAGAGATCTGTCTTTGTCTGGCCTGAATTACCTTGAGTTTCTTCCTTTACAAAAGTGAATATATGTTCCCTAACTATCCAGAGAGAATTACATAGATTTTTTCTTCTACAACATCAAATAAATGTTTAAATAGGACAGATATAATGATGATAAATGAACAGAACAGTCCTGTATGTATTACTTCAAACTTATGACTCACAAACTTGTAAAATACTTTTACCTGTTTTGCCTTGCTGGGGTTATTCTTTTGCCCAAAATATAACCTTATTGAGGCAGAACTTAATTTTTCCACTTTTAGAAATTTTATGTATTTGTATTTCGCTTATAGGTTACAGATCTTGTATTTATGTCAAAATTTCTCACTGATAACAAAAGTATCATTCTTAGATAAGTAACTAACTGAGGTATACAAGTAAACATCTATGATCTGTTAGATCTATGGTGTGTCTATGCATGAAATAAACATAACTATAAAAGTAGTTTAAATAATTATTGTTGTATGTTCATCTGGACTATTAGAATTGTGTTTTCATTAGCTACAAACTTACACTGTCACTTCTCAAGCTATTTGAGTTATTTTTTTTTACTTCTACTTCCAAATGTATGATAATTTTACATGAAAGAATAACCATTAATGTTGTTATATGCTTCATAAATTATGTTCATCTTCTATCTTTGGGTTTTGGGTTTAAAAAGACCCATTGATCAATTGGGGGGGCACTAAGTTAAAATTAGATAAGAATAAAAATTCTGGTATGTTACTGCCCAATACAGTAACTATGGAAAACACCTATTATAAATTTAAAAGAGCTGAAAGAGGAAATTTGGAATGTTATACCATAAAGGAATGGTAAAGATATTTGAAGAGACAGACATGTTTACCTAATTTAAACATTATGGAATGTATGCACATATTGAAACACTTTATTTTTAGTGTGTTAGTTAAAAATAAATTAGAAATTGCCTAAATAGAGGACAAGAAATAAAAAGGATACACAATTTCATTTCTCAAAATAAAGTTGTCTCACCCAGTCTTACACAAAGCTGGTGAAAATTATGAGGAAAGTGAAACAAAAGTTAAAGACCAAGTCCAAGCGCGAGGCCACGGAGGGCTCACAGTGAGCTGGGAGCGTCCCGAGAGCTAGCGTGGGCTGGCCACACTCATGAACTCTGCTCTCCTTTGGCCACTCGGCCCAGCGGGAAGAAATGACAGCATTCACTCTAAGGCAAGGGTTTCACGCTCAGAGTTTGCCAATCACCTGCCAGTAATGGAAAGGTGAGGAATACTTCTAAAGATCGTCCTCTTTCAATCATTTTTCTTTTTTGCTCGCTTTATGTAGATTATGAAACTAGAACTTTTAGCCATGTTTTAATATATTTTTCTGGCTATTTTGTCAAACTCTGCTGTTCAGGTTTCCTTAGAATACAGGGTACTTTTAGCAAACCATGGTAGTGGCTCCATTATTTTGGAAGTTGTGCGGTCCCTGGGCAGGCTTCTGTGAATGACCACTTTTATAATAGCCTTACAGGTAGACTAATAGCACATTCACTAATCCATGAGGTTTGACTAACAAGGAATAAAACAAACTGCAAACATCAGGAATGAAAATCAGTCTCATGATTTTATAAAACAGCCTCATTGTTTCAGGAATTTGCCAGGCTTCCAATAAACTTAATTTCCTTTTCTCATTTGCTCCATCTTTGCAAAATATTACAGCGCATTGTTACTTGGCCTCCAGGGAGCAGCTCCGTTTTACCCTACACATTATTTGCTGAAACATTCACGCACAATCATTTTTCCTTCCATGCTGTCCGGCTTGCCAGGAAAATTTCGGGAGGAGTTTAAAGCAGCCTTTGCTTGCTGTTGCCTGGGCATTCACCATCGCCAGGAGGACCTTCTCATGCGGGGCAGGACCAGCACGGAGAGCCGCAAGTCCCTGAACACGCAGATCTGCGCCTTGGACAACGCGTGCAAGCTGTCGGAGCAGGTCGGCCTCTCCAGCATGGGCGCGCAACCCGAGGCCAATGGGGCAGGGCCACCTCCGTCCACCTCAGTCCACCTCTGGTAGACTCTCCGTCCCTGTGCCAACGGTACCCAGCCAAGTGTTCTTTTCTAAAAGCTCTGTGTACAGAACTTTATTATCCTAATGATGTGAAGCTGAAATGCTTGTGTATCCGTTTTTTAATAATGTATTGCTCTTTGGAAATAAAAACGTCAGTTTAAAATGATTTCTCAACTTCTGACTTAAACATACTAGAACTTAAACCTTCACCTGAACTGATTTCAGCCTATTTCACTTCTAGCTTCACGTATTAAAATTGGTGTCAATGGAATATTTGAATATTTTTAGAATCCCTTGTTATTTTAATCTTACACATTCAAACTGGTTGCTAAAAATCATGAACATTTTCTTTTGGCTGCTAAAATAAGTAGCTATTATAACTGTTAACAGCAAACTTATTTTAGTGGACCTAATAGTTTTTTTAAAGTAACAAAAGACTGCACTCTAATGTGTCATCTGAGAGAATGTTTATATATTAAGTAGCATATTATATGAGATAATGCAAAAGATACCTTTCAAAACCAGGTAAATACTGTTGAAGGTCATTTTCCTCTAATTTTATCAGGTGTTTTCTCAGTTCTCTCAGGTCTTTAACTTGAGCATCATTAACATTCCTTGTCCAACATATTACCAGTAAGACTATATGAAAATAAATGTCATTCATAGTAATGACTGTGAATACATAAAAACTTGCAACTCCAGGAAACAATTTTAACATTTAAAAATAAGGCCCTACTATATTCTTCTAAGCAACCAAGTGAGGCCGTCAGCCTTGCTGGATTAAATGAAGACTGTGCTGCTGTGCTGGATCACAGGGAGGATGCGGCGAGATGCAGACTCCGTCCAGGGAGCTGCAGCTGTGCACAGACTTCCGGTGAGGGAGGTGGCTGGGCACTGCGCCCGCATCTCTGAGCAGCCAGGGCAGCACAGCTGCCCTTTTCCCCACGTGATCCAGGGGTGCTTTCCATACACGTGAAGTCCAGCAGAGGCTGGGACTCAGCGCTGGATAGTTGGATAGGAGTTTGCGTTCATCTTGCACCCAAGTGAAAGAAATGCAATATATTTTGTATAAATGAAAGCTCTGGATCCCAAAGCACTGTGCATTTCAAATTGTTCCTTTGAAAAATTCTTCTGATTCAAATATTCACTTAAATGCGAAATAAGTGATCAGAGTTGTGATCATCAGAGTAGGACAGCAAGGATTCTGATTGTATGGAAAGCAGCTATGTGCATCATATTTAAGAAAAACTTTCTCAATATGATTAACATCTTGTGATCTTCTTGTTTTCCCAAGTGTTATTTCAGAAAAAAAATAGCACAGTAAAATTATTCACAGTTTGTTTTCTAATCTTAGAATTCAGGATTTCATTACCTTGTGCCTTTGACTACTCAAAGCCAAACTCTCTTATATGAGGCTTATTGAAATTATATTGGCAAACCTCTGCCTGTAGTAGTGGAAGTAGTGTATTTTAAATCTTTCCTTTCTTTCCTATGTACATTTGAGAATTTATGCTGCATAAAGGAGAGTTGTAGTTTTCACATCATGATGAAAGTTATCATTTTAATTATTTTGAAGATAACTTTAAAAAACATTGCATTAAAATCCAAGTAATAGCTCAGAGGAAGAGTAAATATTTTAGATGTCAAAAGAACTGTCTCTATCATTTAGAAGCGGAGAAAGAGAAAGAGGGAAGGAAGGAGAGAAAGAGAAACAGACACAGAGACGGACAGAAGGTGAGAGAGACTGGGAGTGGATAAAAGAGTAACTCCGACAAGTAATATTTGTGTGACAGTTCTGAAGTCAGGGTTCACTTATGCCAAATTAATGATTCTCAAATGTGTGGTATCCAAATCCTCAACATTAATATCTCCTGAGAAATTATGAAACTCAAATTCCCACCCTACCCCAAGCCTGCTGAACCAGAAGCCGTGGGGTGGTACCCAGGGATCCTACCTGTTGTCAAACCCCACGGGGGATTCTGAAGAGCCTTAAGATTTGGAAACCACTGCTCTCTGAAGGATACCGTCAGGCATGAATTTACTAGCCCGTGTGAAATAAAGTCTTTTGCTGCGCAGGTGTCTACAGCAGGGGCCATGCTCATCACGACTGTCAGCTGCGTGGGAGGGCTGAAGCAAAAGTCATCTCGCTCAGAGATAATGGCTTACAAAACAATTGCCACGATGCTGCAGGTGCCCTGTGAAAGAAGATGCTGCTTTACAGTGACCCAGAGGACCTGAGTGTGTAACTGCAACTTTCAAATCCCTATCTTATTTACCAATTTACAAGGTTTGTAGAGGCAGATGGTTTCTAAGAATGATTGCACGTGGACAGAAAATATGAAATAAACCAGTACTTCAAAGAAGTGTTCGGAATAGAATAATAGACCATGTGTTTATCCCTCAATATGTGCACCCTGAAATCCTTTTAAGAGGCAAGGAGTTACCATGCTTACCTTAATAGAACGAATGACAAAGAAACAGGCATTCCTAAACGCTGCGAAATTTATGAGAAAAAAGGATCAACTACTTACCTCATGGCGTGTTCATGACCCAGCAGCAAGGTGTGTGTTGGGACTGTTGGATGCTCAACACTGAATGTGTGTGTTCTCTCTTTGTTCTGTTATATTCAAAGACTCCACATACAATGTCAGTGTCACTGAGATTGTGATCTGTAAGGGTAGATGAGATAATAATGTTACCACAATGTAGAATATGTTTGAACTTCATTATCTGCATTCCCCCCAAAACTTGAAGACCTTGATATTTCAATCCATTCATTCTTGGCAAGAGAATTACTCTTAGTCTATGAGGAAAAAAAAAAGCTTCTACATTTCCCAAAACCTAGAGAATTTCCTGAGTATTCCAACTTGTTATAAGTTATTGGTGAGTTAATTGCAGAAAAATTAGGCTCAATGATACTGAGTTTCACTCCGAGCGTATATTGTTTTTAAAAAAAGATTAAGATAAACATAGTAACAAAATTTGGCCTAAATATGCTTACATCTGAATCCGAAGGGCAAAGTCCCGAAGCTGTTTACTTATTCAAATTGTGAGGAAGCAACTCATAATAGTAGGAACTGCATTTCAAAAAACATGGCTCATCATTACAATTTAGAAAGTTTTCCAATGGAAGTTAATTTAACGACAGGTGATTTTTCTACTTCTTAGGAGTACAAGTCACACAAAAAGTAAATTCAATTAGATAATATGCAAATACTTCTCAAATTGCATGGAGCAACATAATAGAGTTTTTTTAGAACCACTATATAAACACGGAAAATATTGTTTATTGAAGCCCAATCTAGTACCGTATATAGCAGAGAAAATGGGGTGCATTGGCATGAAAACACATTAGCTCTGTCTCTCACAGTTTAACGGGAATTGTTTTCTACAGAACTACTGTTACTGAAATGGGGGGTGCAAAAACTCCCCAACTTGCCACGTATTTCTATTCTTTAAATTTCTCTATACGCTTTGGAATTTGAATCTCTTATGTTTCCCATGAAATGTGTTCCTGTAACTGTTGAGCTCATGTATGTAACATTATGTCACTAATTCAGCCATTGTCTTGAAGGATTTTTTGCATCTACTTTGTACTGTGTCTCCAAGAAAACATTTGTTAACAAATCCAGTGTGATTACACATCTGTCGCTGTGAAAAACATTCATTGTGTACTTTTTAAATAAAAACCATATCAAGAATTCTGTAATTACATTCACACTGCTCTCTGTACCGTGTGAAAAATCCTGTTGTTGTTGATTAGATAAATTGGATACTCACTCATAATCAGTGTCAGATCACTGAGTTAGGGATTGAATTAAGCCTTCTGATGCTGTTCCTATGATCAAAATATTTTTCCCTGTACATTTATATAATCATGATACAAATGATTTTTAATATTGTTTTCAAGAATAGGTACTATACTAAGGGTTAAGATTAACACAAAAATATTTCTTAGAAATTACATAAAACAAATTACATTTGCACACCAGTAAATTTTGAATCTTTTATCTAGGTGAGAGGTTTAATCTGCTTTGATATAGAGAAAATGATGAACTCATTATTTTCAGCTTATTATGAAATTATGGAAATGTACTACATTTACATGTCTTTTCCAGGCCATAATATATATTTTAAGTTTAAAGATGAATTTTAAAAATATATACTTTCTGCTTTTCTTTCACTTATCTGGTTCTGATAAAGTTTGGAATCAAACGCCAAGGACTTTAATTCTAAAAATAAATTCTTACCCAATATTTTTTTATCCTAACACTTATCAAAAAGCAATCATCCAAGGTGACACTTGACCCCTAAAGACCCACAACTGGACCGGAGTGGAGGGTGTGTAGTCTGGTGGGCGTTTTCACTAGAAACACTTCCGCAGCAGGTCTCCTTTCTAGGGGGGAGTGTGATCACCCAGCGCCCACCCTGCACGGAGGCCTCCTCCTGGGGCAGCCACACAAGGGAGGGCATCAGGGTCCCTCCTCAGCCGGCCTGATAGAGGACCAGAAGGAAGGTTCCCAGCCTGTCTCACCGCTTCCCTCCATGCCCCGCTCAGCAGGCCAGACCCTCTCCCCTGCCCTCCAGCTCTGCAGAGCTTCTGGCCACCCTTCGGCCCCAGATCAGGCCGCTGCACCTGGCTAGGCTGCATTAGGAGAGCGGGTGTGAAATCAGAGAACAAACTAAGCTTGAGGAGAGAGGTTAAAAATCAGTTTGTAGCCCCAAATCAATAACAACGCCTCGTTTTTTCAAAGTGTTTTATGTCTCTTCCAGAATGTTCCTATGGGTGGGCAGACTTCCAGCTGCATTCGCCCCTCTCCACGCCCCCAGCACGGCTTGCAGCCTCCACCTGCTGGGAGTCCCAGCCCTGAGACCCAAAGCCAGGCTGGGCTGCAGAGGTGCTGCCAGGCACTTTCAGAACCCAGTTCCTATTCACTGCCTTTTGTAGGTCTACTTTGATGCAGTAGTAGAAAAAACTATGTTTTAAAAGATACTGCTTATCATATAATAAACTTCCATTTCAAAACAGTGAAAGCAACACTGATTACCAAGGCAGAGTGGTATGGACAGAACGTGGCTAGAACAGGAAAATCAGACAGTGCAGTGCCCCACGAAGCTTGATTTACTGTCCGTGTAAAATGAGGACATCCTTCACTTTGTATGCTT